AGGGGCTCGAGCTCACCGACGTCCTTCTCAACATCGGTGACGGCAAAGAGCCTCCTAAACCCGAGAGGTCCGCCGATCCAGCTAATGCCGCCGCCGAAGCAGTTTATGCTGCTGCACTGCTAAAGTACAAGAATTGGGAGAAGGCCGATGGTGCGGTCATTAGTGTCTTCATGGGCACCACTCCTCCCGAACTCGTTGAAACCTACCACAACTACCCGTCTGCCAACGCCATTTGGCTCTACCTCGAAGACCGCTTCCTGAACAAGACTGCAGTGGGAGTTGCTATACTCATCCCCAGCATGTTCCAAGTGCGGCTCGAGGACTCGCCAGGCATGGCGGACTATGTCACCAAGGTGCAGTCCATTCATGGTGAACTCAAACAGTTGGGGATAGTTTTCCCCGAGCAAGCCCCTGCAGCCGCTCTCCTAGTCGGCCTCACTCCGGCATACGAAGTCACACGCAAGATGCTCTTGGGCCTTGCTGCTGCAGACCTCACATTTGCCAAGGTCTCATCCGCGCTCCTTTCTGCCGAAAAGGACAACAGCGCTCAAGCCAAGGCCAATGCAATCCGCGCTCCCGTGCCTCAAGCCTATGCTGCTTCGGTGCCATTCCAGCGCAACCGCTTCCCCCCGTGTCCCTACGTCATCAAGCGCGGCCCTCGTGCTGGCCAGGTATGTGGCAGCACCAACCATGGCCTTGCCTCCTGCTTTAAGAAGAAGGATGACGAGTGGTATGCCATCAATGGGACCGCCTCCAAGCCGCCAAGCTGGATGGTCAATCGTGCTCCTCGCCAAGTCAATCAAATCGAAGCGCAGGAATCCGTGCAGGCTGCTGTGGCTGCACCTGCTGATGTGCGCCTCAACATGTTGTTCCCTGGCACTGCCATGATTAATGAGACGATTTCGCAGTATCCTGGCTCACAAAGCACCTCAGCCACAATAGAGTTCACCCTCGACAGTGGGGCCACTCATACGGTTCTCAAGGAAGAACACTCCTTCAAGCCATACGAGACACCAATCCGTCTACTTGGAGCAGACTCTAGTTTCACAACACACGCCAAGGGCTGCTCCACAGCTCCGTGCCCAGCTTTTCCTTCGAGCAGTGTGACTGGCATGTGTGTTCCCACACTACGCCACAATCTCGTGGCCCAACACGAGCTCCAACGGGCAGGCGTCACCACGATCTTCCCAGCACACTCGGATCACTGTGACCTCTTCGACCCTAAGTCCAACAAGCTCCTAGCATGCTTCACACTCAACAGTAGCAAGCTCTACACGCTGCGTTCACCTGCACCTCTCGCCGCCCTCTCCCAAGCGCAAGCTGCCAGCACCACTCCGTGTTCGTATCGCAGCTTCCCCAACCCAACCATCCTCTACCACCATCGCTTGGGTCACCCCAACTTCCGTACACTTGCCGACATCGCTTCCAAAAAACTTCTTCTTGGCCTCCCGTCGATGCTTCCTCCACCAACAGACTCACCTGCACCCACCCGGCCTGGACTGCACCAAGAGCAAGCTCAGGTAGCAGCCGCACCCTTCCTCCCCATCCGTCGCAGCTGCTCCGCTGGACCTAGTGCACATGGATGTCTGGGGCCCAGCTCCAGTCGCATCCCGAGGCGGTCATCGGTACTTTCTTACACTACTCGATGACCACTCGAGGTACGTTTCTGTGCACCTCGTGCATACCAAGGCGGAGGCACCTGATGTCATCATGGCGTGGGTGCGCCAGGCTCAAGTCACGTTCGGCACTCCTCTGAAGTGCCTCCATTCTGATGGCGGGGGAGAATTTTGCAATGGCAAACTCGATAACTTCTGTGCGGCCCAAGGGATTCGGCAAACCTTCACGCTCCCCGAAAGCCTGCAGCAGAATGGCATTGCAGAGAGCCGCAACCACACCTTGGTTCAGATCGCTCGCTGCCTCCTCAGTCACGCCAACGCACCACGGTCACTCTGGGGATATGCCCTCTTCCATGCGGCACTCCTCTACAATCTTTATCCACATCCCCACCGGCCCAACACCACACCTACCGCTCTCTGGCTTGGGGTCACGCCTTCCGCCCGCTCTCTACGCGTCTGGAGGTGTACCGCGTATGTGTTGCTAAGCCCCCACACGCGCAGGAAGCAAGGTGGCAAGCTTGGTCCCAAAACCCAGACCTGCATGTACCTCGGGCACAACTCCGACTCCCCAGACTACTTATTCCTCAACCCAATCACCAGACAGCTGATTCGCAGCCGTGATGTCGTCTTCGATGAGACACGCCCATTCCACTCTGCGACCACGGGCGAGCCTCCTCCACCTCCCCCGACGCTTGTTTGGGCAGACTTTGATGCCCCACCTCCGGCCGCTGCCCCTTCTCCGGGGCCTTCTCTGTTCGGCGTGTCTCACCCGGCCTCCCCAGTATCCTCCGCAGCGGCACCTCCTCCTGCTCTGCGTTCCCCGCGCGTCGAGCCCGGCTCACCAGTCTCCTATCGGAGGCGCCCAGTGTAAGAAATAGAGTTGAAATGATTAATTAGGTAAGGAGCCCAAGGCTCTGTAAGTACATGGCAAGGTGAGAATGAATGGATGAAGGGGGAATTGGAGGGAATCCCCATTGGGATCTCCGGAATCTCCAATTGGGTAATTGGAGATTGGGGGGATCACAATTGGGTGAGGTTGGGATTTGTGAGTACACCCCAACCCACTAGAACATTCACAACCTAAACTAGGATATAAAAGTACAAATACAAAAGTGGTATTTGCAGTCTATTTCTAACACCCAGTTCCTCCGGTCCCACCGCAGCCGCCTTCGTCTCCGGTCTCTAGTCGCACTCGTTCCAAGGGACCGGCTCCGCCTCTCGCCTGGGGACCAGCCGCCTTCTCCATCCGGTGTTCGGTCACCCCGCCTCCTCCTGCCGGGGGTGATGTCCCCTCCATCCGTATTCCCCCACGTGCACTTCTGGAGGACAGGCATGAGGAGCTGTTTGACCTTCACGCGGTCTGCCAATTTCTCTCTCACATCTTCTCGGACATTACAGACTGCCCTTCCCTCAACGTCACCGAGAACCCGACCATTCCGACTCCTCGCACAAAAGAGGAAGCTCTCTCGGTGCCTTATAAGAAGGAGTGGAAGGTAGCAATGGATGTGGAGAACGAGGCGTTCATTCGCAACAACAGCTTTGACGATGTTGTTCCCCCTTCCAGTGTCAACATCGTCGACGGAAAATGGATCTTCCGAGTCAAACAACTCTCAGGCGAAGCTCCACTGTTCAAGGCACGATACGTGGCGAAGGGTTTCACCCAGAAGGGGTATCTCGACTTCTTCGAAACATTCTCGCCCACGGCCAAGCTCCCGACTGTGTGCGTTCTTCTTGATATAGCCGCTCGTGGCAACTTCGAGATCAAGTCCATGGACGCCTCCTCCGCCTTTCTCCAAGGCCAGCTCAAGGAGGATGTTCACATGGAACGCCCACCGGGGTTTCCTGGCACTTACCCTGCCAACACAGTGTGGAAGCTGAAGCGCCCAGTGTATGGCCTCAAGCAGGCTCCTCGTGAGTGGTACAACAAGGTGAAGGAAGTCCTCCTCGCACTTGACTTCCATCCCTCTGCTTCAGATTCCAGTCTCTTCGTTCGTTACTCCTCCGAGCCCTTCTACATCCTCGTCTACGTCGACGACTTCATTATAGCCACCAGAGATCCAGCCGACATGGCAGCTGTCCAGTCTGCTCTCAGCTCCGCCCTTCTCATGAAGGATCTTGGTGACCTCAAGAACTACCTGGGGATGGAGATCACTCGTGACCGCCAGGCTTGCACGATCACCCTCTCCCAGGAGTCCTACATCGACAACCTTCTCAAGCGGTTCGACATGGACTCCAGTAACTCTGTCTCCACTCCACTCCCACTACAGCATCAGCTCACGGCCCCTCCAGTTCCTTCTCCTGACGCCTCCAAGGACCCGTACCCTGAGCTAGTCGGTTCACTCATGTATGCCATGATGTGCACTCGACCAGACTTGGCTTACCCAGTTAGTGTCCTCTCTTGGTACGTCTCCCCCGGACGCTACACTGCCTCGCATTGGTCTGCAGCCAAGAGGGTCCTCCTGTTGGTGCATATTCGTTTGCACGTCATCCTGTCGTCTGTTCGCATCATTTCGTTGCATGTGTTTTGTGTGCTATATTGTTTGTATGGTTTGTTGGGTTTGCATGTCTTTGCATGTTTATCTTGTGCTTGTGCAGATGTGCTTGGATTGTGCATGACATCGAGCACATTCCAACGAGCCAAGAATTGTTGGAATCGGAGCACATATGAAGAAGTTACGAAGAAATGTTTGATGGATTTGTTACAACTCATTGGAAGTCCTTGTCAGCTGCTACACCAAAGTTGGAGAGCCCTATAACGAGGAGGGACCAGCATGTATGGGACTCTTGTCCCCACCCTGCAGCTGCAGCATTTGGGGTTTGGAGGCCAACCTGGTACAGTGTGAATTTTGTCTTGCCAGCCTGGCTGAACCTGAGGATGGGGAGTCAAGACTTTGACTCTTGTCATGTTCTTGACCATGGGCCTCCAGGGTCCTTCCCTTTCATCCTTCCCTTCCATCCCTACCTTCTAATTGTGCTTCAATGCCTTTTCTATCATGCCTCTGAACTTGTAAGCTTCAATCATAGTGACTCTGAGGATTGTCAACTTCTCCTAGGGCAGATTACCCCCCAGTGCGCCAAACACCATAGCTCGCCCGTTAAGCTACGGAATCGAGTGAATCAACTTTCAGTGGAAAGCTGACGCTGCAAGCTACAAGATATCTGATTTTCAGATCGTTTCACTGATTGGAGTTTTGGATATAGCTTTTCGAAGGTCGCGAGTTTTCAGGGCGTCATAACGAAGTGCTGCAGAAATTTCCAAGGAGCCATTGAATCATCTGCTTATAGCCTTCTCTAACCAACAAGTGGTATCAGAGCCATTATCACGCATTTGGGACATAAAATACGTGGGATATAAGGAGGACTCTGGTGGAGATGATACTTCAGTCCAAGGAGGCAGCTCAACCCAAGATTCTGGCATTGCAGCGCAAAGGGGAGCGCATACAAGCCAGGGGTCACTGCTTAAGGAGGTGCTGAAGAACTTCACCATTGAGAAGTTCTCTGGAGATGGCTATGATGATTGGGCATGGAAGATGCAGCTCTACTTTCGACAAATTGGCCTCTTGAAGCTCATGATTGGAAGGGAGCCAAGGCCAAAGGAAATGGCAGAGCAAGCGGACTGGGATGAACGTTCATCTGCTGGGTATTATCTACTGTCACAAAGCTTGGAGCTGAACCAGAGGCATCACATCATGCATCTGCTACCGGAAATTGATTGTGGGCCCAAGGCATGGGCAGTGCTCAAGGACCTGCACGCTCCGACATCGGTTGCCGCTTCTCTCATGCTAGATCGGGAGCTGTCCATGCTGCGGTTGAGCGAGAATGAACCTGTGCAGCCCGTACTGGACAAGATGAGGGAACTCTACGCGAAATTGGCGATTGCAGGCATCACGTACCCTGAGCAGACTAAGTGTCTCAAGATGCTCAGCCTGCTGCCGGAGTCTTGGCTGCTATTTATAAGCGGACTCAGCTTGCCACAAAACCAAAGTCAATGGACATTGGAGTGGATTCGCACCAAGATTCTGGAAGAAGATTTTCGTCGCTATACACTGCACGGTGATGACAGCACCAGCGGCTATGCCATGCAAGGGACATGGAGGGATCGAGGGCGTGGCAATCGCGGTCGCTCTTACCACAACCAAGGTGGTCGCGGGACTTGGAACCAGCGGGGGCGTGGTGGCGCTGGTGCAAGAGGAAGAGGTGGTCACTCCAACAATGACAACAGTGAACCACGCTTGAGGGGAGAGTGCTGGTATTGCAAAGAAGAAGGGCATCCATGGTTTCGCTGCCCTACCAAGCCCGACTGGTGGACCCCTTGGAACCAATCGCAGAAGGGGAATGGAGGAAAGCAACCACATGGAGGTTCCAACATGGTAGCTGATCCTGCTGAAGAAACCTCCAAGGATGACAGAGGAATGGGAAATGAGGAGAGGAATGCTGGACAGTTCTACCATGTGTGTGACAAAGATGACAGTGGCACAGCTGTTGCAAGGGCTGGAGAGGAATTGCACCCGCTTGACATGTGGGTCATGGACTCTGGTGCTGCATGGACAATGACACCACGCAAGGACTTGCTGGATGCTGTGCGAGCGCCTCCAATCTCTGAAGTGCGCTCAGCATCCGGACATGCAGTGAAGGTCGCTGGAGTTGGTCGAGCTGCATTCAGAGCACCTGATGGTGGACTGGTTGTGCTGAAGGAAGTGTTACTCGTACCGGGGCTGAAGGCCAATCTGATATCGCTGCGCAAGCTAGGCCAGGCCGGAGTCAGCACCACCACCAATGGATCCAAAACATTCAAGGGGCTGCGAGGAGATCGTGTGTTATGGGATTTACACGAAAGCAGAGATGTCTTCAGATCCATGTGGCAGATCCCTGCACTGATATGGGAATCAACAAAGAAGGAGTTGGGAGAAGTAAAGGCGGGATCTGGAGTCCAGGGGGAGTGTAATGCAGTTAGTGCTGCAGGAGTGACGGTTTCTGCAAGGTCGGGGGAGACTGATTGGGAAACCGCACACAGGCGTCTAGGGCATGTGGCTATGCCATTGCTGCAGCAACTGCATAAGGAAGAAGCAGTAAAGGGGCTCAAGCTTTCTGGGCAACCAAATGATACCAAGTGCGAGACGTGTCTGCTGAGCAAGTTCACACGGTTCCCCTTTCACGGCGTAGCTGGGAAAAGCAAGGCAGCACTGGAACTGGTGCACATGGACCTCGTAGGACCTTTTCCAGTTCGAGGAAGTAAGGGGGAAAGGTACTTCCTGACAATAGTTGATGACTGGAGTCGGCTGATGTGGGCATACCCGTTGAAGCAGAAGGATCATGCTACCTCAACAATACGAGATGACTGGCTGCCGTTCGTCGAGCGACAATCTGGGCACCCATGCAAGAGCATCAGAACCGACCGAGGTGGAGAGTTTCTAGGAGGAGATCTGACTGCGTGGCTCAAGAAACAAGGCATTGAGCATCAGCTAACGACGTCCTATACCCCTCAGTCAAATGGCGTTGCTGAGAGGGCTAATAGGACCATCCTGGAAACTGCGCGAGCGCTGCTGATCGAATCAGGGCTGGGGAACTCCATGTGGCCTCATGCGGTGAGGCATGCTACAGTGGCAAGGAACCGTGTACTCACAAAGGTGGCTGATGATATGTGGGTGCCGCTGGAGAGGTGGCTTGGAAAGAAGCCTCCAGTGGACATGCTTCGAGTGTTCGGATGCATGGCAGTGGCGCATGTCCCTAAACCGTACAGGACAAAGCTTGGAGCATCTGCACTTTGGTGTGTGCACCTTGGGCTTGCAGCAGAGAGCAAGGGGTGGCTACTCTGGGAGCCCTCAAAGAATGTGCTGTTTGACAGTCGGGATGTCAAATTTGTGGAGAACATCATGTATGGCAAGTGGGAGAAGCAGCCGGAGGCAAGGGTCACCCAACAGCTGGAAGAGATCACTATGCACTTCGATCTGTCCGAACCTGAGGACAGCGAAGTCACTGCGCCAACGGCAAGCGGTACTGATGAAGGAAGCAATGAGGATATTGCAGCTGATGCTGAAGTCAAGGATCGGGAGCAGCAGCAGCAAGAGGCTTCCAAAACACCAAGTCTGCCAAAGCGAAGGAAACAGATTGGTGGGGGGACAAAGGATTGGGTGAAGGTGAAAGAATGGGTAAATCCAACCATCTACCCTGCACGTACCAGAATGGCAACGAGAAAGCTGCTGAGCTCCACAAGTGGAGGAGCCACAACTGAGCAGCAGGAACAGGCTCAAGGCGAAGATGCAGTGCTGTTCTTGGGTGATGACCAAGAGTCAGATGACGAGGAGCCTGCATACTGCTTTTACGCACCAATACAACCTCCGAGCATGGATCATGCGCTAGCCGGGCCTCAACGGGGGAAGTGGCTCGTTTCAAGAGATGCAGAGTACAACAGCCAGATGGAGAATCACACATGGGACCTGGTGTACTTGCCAAATGGGAAGAAGGCAATACAGTGCAAGTGGCTGGCAAAAATCAAGACGGATGAGAAAGGAGAGCCATCAGTTTACAAGAGCAGGCTGGTGGCAAAGGGGTTTCAGCAGAAAGAGAAGGAAGATTACAATGAAGTGTTTGCCCCAACTGCTAAGTCTCCAACGCTACGTGTGCTGCTGGCGGTAGCTGCTGTGCGCAAATGGAAGGTGAAGCAGATGGACATCGTAACCGCTTTTCTGTACGGCATTGTGGAAGAGGAGGTGTACATGGTTCAACCACCTGGCTATGAGGATGGAACCGGTCGTGTCTGCAAACTTAACAAGGCCATCTATGGCTTGAAGCAGGCCCCGAGATGCTGGTACAACAGGCTGGCCAGTGCACTGGAAGGGATTGGATTCCGTGCGAGTGCATGCGACGAGAGCCTATTCCTGATGGGAGAGGGGGAGTCACTTGTGCTTCTGCTGGTGTACGTGGATGACATCCTGCTCTTCAGCAGCAGTGACAAGGAGATCGATGGGGTGCAGCGGAAGCTCACAGAGCAGTTCAAGTGCAAGTCACTTGGAGAGGCAAGGTACTACCTGGGAATGCACATTGAGCGGGATACTGAACGTGGCTGGCTCAAACTGCATCAGGGACAGTACATCAACACCTTGGCTGAAAAGTACTCTCTGCAGGAAGAACGGGAAGTAGTCACACCTTTGCCTTCCGAGTTCAAACTCATAAAGGCAGCTGAAGGAGAAGGAGTTGAGAGTGAAGACCAGAGGCAATTCCAATCCATGGTCAGGAGCCTACTCTACGCTGCTGTGCATACTCGGCCTGACATCAGCTTTGCTGTGGGACAGCTGGCTCGAGTAGTGCAAAATCCAACAGAAGAGCAGTGTGGTGCAGCGGAGAGAGTGGTGCGCTACCTCAAGTCATACCCTACAGTGGGAGTACAGTATTCAGCCTCTGCTCAACTCAGTCAAAAAGGAGTTGAAGTCCTCAAAGAGAAGGGGGAGCAGCTCGGAGAAGGAAAGGTGTTCCTTTCCTGTTTTGCTGATGCCACGTGGGCTTCTGAGCATGAGGATTCATCATCAGTTGGCGGATACATCTGCATGGTGGGAGGTGGGCCTGTGAGTTGGAGGTCCAAGAAGCAGTCTGAGACGGCTCTATCTTCAGTGGAATCTGAGTACATGGCGATGTTTCATGCGGCAAAAGAAATCATCTGGCTAAGGAGGCTCTTGAAAGAGATCGGCCATGAACAGACTTGTGCGACACCTCTGTTCAGTGATAGCAAGGGAGCCATTGCCATGGCACGCAATGCAGTTCTTCATGGGTTGAACAAGCACATGAGGATCAAGTGGCATTGGCTGCAGAAGGAGGTGAAGCTTGGGACACTGGATCCGATCTACGTGAAAACTCAGCAACAGCCAGCCGACTTCCTTACCAAGCGGCTAGCTGAAGAGCCACACTGGCGCTGTGCGAGGATGGCGGGAATGTCGTTAAACTAGAGACGGCGAAACAAGCCGACAGTCTGAGGGGGAGTGTGTTGGTGCATATTCATTTGCACGTCATCCTGTCGTCTGTTCGCATCATTTCGTTTGCATGTGTTTTGTGTGCTACGTTGTTTGTATGGTTTGTTGGGTTTGCATGTCTTTGCATGTTCATCTTGTGCTTGTGCAGATGTGCTTGGATTGTGCATGACATCGAGCACATTCCAACGAGCCAAGAATTGTTGGAATCGGAGCACATATGAAGAAGTTACGAAGAAATGTTTGATGGATTTGTTACAACTCATTGGAAGTCCTTGTCAGCTGCTACACCAAAGTTGGAGAGCCCTATAACGAGGAGGGACCAGCATGTATGGGACTCTTGTCCCCACCCTGCAGCTGCAGCATTTGGGGTTTGGAGGCCAACCTGGTACAGTGTGAATTTGGTCTTGCCAGGCTGGCTGAACTTGAGGATGGGGAGTCAAGACTTTGACTCTTGTCATGTTGTTGACCATGGGCCTCCAGGGTCCTTCCCTTTCATCCTTCCCTTCCTACCCCACCTTCCAACTGTGCTTCAATGCCTTTTCTATCATGCCTCTGAACTTGTAAGCTTCAATCATAGTGACTCTGA